CCGGGAGAGGGGCCCAGTTAGGCGGGCAGGTAGCCGGGAGAGGGGCCCAGTTAGGCAGGCAGGTAGCCGGGAGAGGGGTCCCATCAGGAGGGCAGGTAGCCGGGAGAGGGAAGCAGGGAGACCTGAAACAGGCAATGTAGATAAACCCATTCACCTAGGAGATGACCCTGACAAATTGCCTCCGTACCATCGAGATGAGACACTCAGGGGTTCTTGGGGTCACGAAGATGATAGAATGCAGGAGGAATTTCCTTTAGATAGTCAAGATGACCCTTCTTTGGAGCATGAGCGATTGGATGACTGGGAAAGAGAACAATACTGGAGAGATCAGAACTCTGATTATCAGGATGATTCTGTAGATGCCTATGACAGAGATGACAGGTTGCAATCACACCATTCATTGCCTCCATTATCTCCCCTACCACCACTACCTCCTTTATCATCTGATCATGACAGACGAGATTCATGGTGGGATGACTGGAAAAGGCCAAGAGAGAGGGAACTAGAGAGAGATCTAGATAGGACTGGAAGATCTTCAGACATTTATGATCAAGATTTAGACAGAGAATGGGATAGAGACTGGGACATGAGACCTATGGATGACAGAGAAATGGGGAATCGTGACCTGGATATTCCTCCTCTACCACCGTTACCACCTCTTCCACCTCTGGACAGATACCGTGAAGATAGGTGGAGGGAGGATAGGAACAGAGATCATTATGACAGAGACCTCCGAGACAGGGGGGAGCTGAGGATTCGAGAGTATCCAGAGAGATATGACACGTGGCGGGAGAAGCAAGACTACCTTCCTGAAAGGACTGATTGGGAGAGGGAACGGTTGTCAGATAGGTGGTATCCAGATGATGGAGACAGACTGCGGTCTTTGGATGATCATTCAGATTCATCCCTTCCTCCACCTTCACATTCCTCTGATATGCTGGGAGCAGATTCAAACCTGGACTCTGACCAGTCCTTGGGAGGAGTGATGGTCCTTAGCCAAAGACAGCATGAGATCATTCTGAAGGCTGCTCAGGAGCTCAAAATGCTTCGGTGAGTTGCCTGGTCCTGTCACTTTGGTGGGAATCCCATTCTGTGGAGATGGTGCTCATTTCTTAATTCATTCCTTAATTTACGCAGTAATGGCTTCATTTCTTTTTGCCACAGCATGATATTAGGAGCTTATATGGAGCAAGTTATTTGGAGGACCTCCATCACAGCTTTTGTGGATGGACTTTTTTTCTTAAATAGGTGGTTGTCCCTTTCCCCATGAATATGGCATTCCCTGTTTGTTACTTTCCAGGAAGAGATCTCTCCACATCACCTGACCAATCTTTTTGTTATCCTCAAATGAGCTTGTTGATAATTGCTTTTCAATCTTTTTATTAGTGTCAGATGAGCTCGTTGATAATTGCTTTTTAATACTTACCTGTCAAGATCTACATTAATGTGTTTTTTAATTCACACAATGGGACCTGTTTAATTTTTGAATATTGCTTACTTTTTAATTAAAACACATGTGGGTTTTTTCTTTTTACAATGCTCCCTCGTTTGAAATCCAGCAGCGTCAGTGAATAATTTTGCAAAAGCTTGGTTGATCTTAGTTCTGATCTGCTGAGCATAACAGCAGTGATAACAATCAGGAGGACATGAATGCAAGAGTTCACCAAGACCATGTTTTAGCAAGCAGCTACTAGACTCCCTAGGGCTGTAACAGGTGTTTGTTTCAAAATAAGTAATCGAATATTCTCTTAAACATCAGAAACATCCTAGGGCTCAGTAAATTTAGTAATACTAGAATGAATGGAGTGCATATCATCTATCCAAATGCTACCTTTGTGATTTGGTGCATGGGTTTAGGTGCATTAGATGTATTAAAAAAAAAAAAACATAGTAAAGATGTGTTTCTTTTATTATTTTCAGTGAATGAGATCTTTCAGAGCAGATTGTAGAGAAAAGAAGCAGGGGTTCATGTGGTTCATCCTATTCATGAGTTACTGAGAGAGAGCTAAGGATTGGTGCCTAGTAAAGATGGGTTTAAATTCATAAACAACATATTATACTAAGATAATGGGCAATTAAAATTAATGCTTGGTTATCATTATTACATTTACGTTAAACCATATTGAAAGATACAGAAATGTTTTGCATTTTCCTTGAAGCTGTTTTGTTTTCAGACTCATAAGATTGCTATACATCTGTCCCATATGGAAGGCCTCAGTGGCATGCCAAATAGCAAGAAAAATAATTTTTTAAAAGGGAGAACTTTTATTCAGAATAACTTAATCTTTCACTGCAATTAGATTAATTCAGCAGGTGTTAGTAACCGTGAAATCTGTGCTATTGTCCTGGGTTTGGCTGGGATAGAGTTAATTTTCTTTCTAGTAGCTGGCATAGCGCTGTTTGGACGTAGTATGAGAAGAATGTTGATAACACCCTGATGCTTTAGTTTTTGCTAAGTAGTGCTTACGCTACTCAAGGACTTTTCAGCTTCCCCTGCACTGCCAGGTGCACAAGAAGCTGGGAGGGGGCGCAGCCAGGACAGCTGACCCAAACTGACCAAAGGGATATTCCAGACCATATGACGTCATGCTCAGTATATAAACTGGGGGGAGTTGGTCAGGAGGCTGCAATTGCTGCTCAGGGATGGGATGGGCATCGGTCAGTGGGCAGTGAGCAATTGCATTATGCATCGCTTGTTTTGTATGTTACTATTAATTATTATTATTTTCCTCTGCTGTTTTATTAAACTGTCTTCATCTCAACCCACGGGTTTTACTTTTTTCCGATTCTCTCCTCCATCCCACTGGGGAGGAGGGGAGCGAGTGAGCAGCTGTGTGGTGTTCAGCTACCTGCAGGATTAACCCACAACAACTATAGAGCAATATTTGCCAAAATTTTGGAGCAACAGACAGTTTTCAGCTTCCTGACTTTCCCATTGCTTCAGGTTGCCAGGCATATGTTTTGCTGTTTAATGTGACTAGCTGTGAGCCGGTGGACTTAATCTGAGGACCATAGTTTGGGAATCACTGCCTAAGTGAATAATGTATTAGGGCTGAAATATTTAAACACAGAAAATAAAACATTTTATGTAAGAAAGTAGATACATACACCTCTTTTTAAGCCAGTAAAAAGGGGATATATAAACATGACACTACTAATACTGATTTTTAATTTAATATGAGGATAATCATAAAAATTAATTACACTGGTACTTCTCATGAGGTTCTTATAAGCAGGTGACCCCAGTCTGAACAGTAGGAACAACTTTAAGGAGACTGCTTAAGATTTTTTTTTTTTGAGCCAAGAGTTATATCAGTAGTGTGGTGCATAACTGCTTTCATCTTCAAATGTAAAGCTTTCATCTGGGTTTGCTTTTATTGTGTATAAAATAGCATACTCTGAGGTGCATACTGTTCTGTATGTGTCATCTGGTGTATTTTTCCTAAGCCAGGTGTAAGAAGACATTTTAAGTGCTAGCAATTGCTCAGTTACTCATCATACTAATGCAGCACTTTGGATCCCTTTCTGCAAGCCAAGTTCCCCTTGCACCGAACAGATGGGTTGCTAGTCAGGATGGCCTCTGTTGTGCCTAGTACAGAGGGATCCCATCCTTAGTTGTTCTTTGGGCACTACTCTAATACATGCAATTAATATGAACAAAGAGTTACTAGCAAGAAAAAAACTAGATAAAAAATCGCAAACAAAAACTGAGAGGAAATCATACTGAATAGATGTGTCTTTGTAATCCAGTGGTTGTAGTATTCGCTGCTGGTCCTGGTCTCAACTCCAGAGACTGGGTAGCATTTTGATACATAAAACAAGGAAACAAAAGCTAACATCATGACTTTGTTTTTAAATGTTGGAGTCTCTGTTGTGCTTTGTGTTGGCCTCAATCCTGTTAGTGTGCAACCCAGAGCAAGTCACTGAGAGCACTTAGGCACGCACCTCCACTGGGCTTCTGGTTTGCAGAAGGTGTTGTTAGAAGCTAAAATCTAGCTGTGCTCTTTACTGTCAAATTGGAGTGGTTCTGGCCAAGCACAAAAGCATAACTGCATGTTGGAGGGCAAATTTGCAATCAAAAAAGGAGACAGCTAATACGTTAAATACCTCCACAGTTAGGTGAATGTGAAACAGGGACTTCTGAATCTTAATGTTGACCATGTAAAGCCTGCTGTGTCCTTTTTGTCTTTGGGCTTGGCCTCTAATGTTAGTGTCATATGTGGTTCTCACTGTACTTGATTTCTTTAATTTTGAAACTACAGACTGATAACATTTTCTTGTGATTCATACGCAGAGAGCAGAAAGAACAGCTACAGAAACTGAAAGAGTTTAAACCTGACATTTCCACACAGGACTCTCCTAGATCACAGAACACAAGCACAAGGCCGGGTGCCTTTCAGGTAAATTCATCTTGTGTTAACTTAACATGCTGGTAGCAATTACTATTAATGAGTATGTCCAACCAGTTCTGCACTCTGATGGTCAAACTTCTCTGTGGAATGCCTCCCCAGAAGCTTTTAAAATCTCATCAATCTTCTGCTGAGGCAAAGCAACTTCATAGTTTCTTTATATTTTCCAAAGCCTTTCTTACTCATTCAGTCCACTGTGTCTTCTGAGCATGACCCATTGGGGACGGTAGCACATGAGGCTCAACAGCCTAGAGTGCTGTGGGGTGATGTGCAAGAAATGGTGAGTTCTTCCAAAACAGGGACATGAGGCTCATGAGAAGACCCTCCTGTTCCCTGCCTAACTACTGGCTTTAATTCTGATCTTGCTCTGTTTTTTCTACTTTAAGAGCTCTCTCCTCTTTGAAGAGGTTAGAGAAATTTGAGGATCAGTCCATCAAAAAGTGAGATATTTCAATGCAGAATGGGCATTAGCTTTCTGTTTGCTCTCTTTATTAGGAATCTTGTTACACTCTGGAATATCATGAAGTGCATGGAAGCTCACATTTGTCTACTTCCATGACTTCACCTCCCATTGTGATTAAAGTTATTCCTCTGCTGCTTAATCTCCTGGTTGGTTCTGGGAACTCTTCTCAGCTGCTTATGTTTTGTTTTTTGATAATTCATACCTGGTTGGAAACCAGCTGAAGCAGTCATGTTAACACTCAGGTTTATAAATCCTTCCTAGAACAAATAAACAATTTTGTTAAATGTATGTTGGAGGAGGTACCTGAGTTGACCTACAGTCTTCGTCACATCTTAACCCCAAAGTTACTGGTACCAATAAATTTAGCTGTACTGACCTCTGGGTCTGACATTTAGCCAGACCAAGCTTTGTTTGTCCCTCCCTGTCATGAATGCTGATTTAGGATCCTGCCGACTATGCCAATTTGTCACAAATGAGTGACTTTACACAATTTGATTTTGGTAGCAGTTTATAATTTATTTGTGCCTTTATGGCAAATCACAGGATTGGATTGTGATATTTTAATAGCACTCAATCATCAGTCGATTAACAAAGTGATGGAACAAAATTTGTTTTAATTAAACAGTGACTTAGTTAAAGATTCAAAAATGGCAAGTTTCACTCTATTACTGCATGGAAGAAGTACACAAAGGAAAATTAAGTTACACTCCAGTTAGAATGATTCACAGGACTGTGAGTGACTCTCAGTCTTGGTCAACAGTTTATGTCTAAGGATAATATGTGTCTAGCAGCAGTCTAAGGTTTATTTACAGTTTAAGATGGACCACAAGATTTTTAGCAGCACTTAATCATTGACTAAATTAACGTTCACAAAGTCAGTCAACTATAATCATGACAGACTCACTTTATAATTAAATCACACATTTACAAATTACTTAAATCGATTCATACATGCATACACACACAGAGGATTATATTTTTTATATATATACACACATATATGAAAAGGTATACCTTTTTAAAAATTCCCCTTGAGTTCAGTGAAATATTCACATCAGGTGTCTCAGCATTTCTTAGTGGGTGAGGGTTGAGCCTCAAGGAGTGAAGGGCTTCAGCCGTCAGTTTTCAGTGATGGACCTCCGATTTTCGCAAACTCAGGTTTGTGAGCTTTGAGAGGCATCCCACTCAGAGGGAGGTGCTGGTTGCATCCCGCTGCGGTCCAGGAGAGCTCAAGGGGACTCACTTAGGACTGCTGTTTATAGGGTCGTGAGATGATTGGCTTCAGTCATGAGTAAATTTCCGTCTGGGCCACAATCCAGGTCAGTAATTACTGGAATCCCAGTAACGATGGTACCGTGTCGCTCAGGTTACAATCCAGATAGATAGTTCCAAGGCTGTCAGGGGATAACTGATTGTTCCCGCTCTCGATAACTGTTCCTGCTCTCACTCCCCACCTCAGCCATGTAGGAGTTCCTGGTACGGACAGTGCCACTTAATCATCCAACTCATTACAGCAAAGCCAAGATCTGACGGGCGTTCCCGAGATCGTAAAGCAGTCCAGGAGAAGAAGGGAGGCAGGGGAGATACACCACCACGCTCCCTCCCGAGAAGTGTTATGCAGTGAATGAGGCACTGCAAGTTTTCTTTTTGCCTAGTTGACCTCTTCCTTGTTTACAGTGTCTAAAATAATGGCAACAGATTTGGTACCGCAAACTGCAGATATGTTGCTGCCTAATAGGAAGTGACTTTACACAGCTTTGATATTTTGTATCTCAGACTACCTCACCTATCTGCCTAAAGGTATTCAAACAATTGTTGTCTTTCTTGGGATTCCCGCCTTCAGCCTTCTGCTGCAACTTTGAACTGTTATTACAAAGTTCAGCTTTGTATCTGCAACCATTCTGCAAGTTTTTTTGCATGTTGCTAATAAGGCTGCCTGTAACTTGGCATCTGCTGTGATGCTGAAAAGACTCTTGTGACACATCACGGGGGGTTCTATGGGAATGTTTGGTTCATGAAAGGGTTTTGTTTTGTTGGTTTTTTCCACCGGGCAAGACCTCCCCATTTCTTCTGTTGATCTGATGTTGATTTCATTAAGGGGTTTCCAGGTGATTCTCCTCTCTGGGAATTTTTCCAGTGACTTCCAGAAAGAAGCTGGCCTTATCAATCCTTTTGCACATCACCAAGCTGCCCTACTTTCAGACTTTTTCAGCCTCCTCACAGATAGCAAGAATCTTTGCAGACAGCAGGAGTCCTTGGCAATAAAACCGTAGACACTTTTGAACTGAGATAGTCCTACTGGAGCTTAAATTGGTAAGGTTATTTTGAAGGACAAAATAAATAGTATTTAAGCCTTCATATAGTGAACAAACACCAAATTAATTCAGGCCACCAGTTCTTGAAATACTGTCCTCCTATCTGTAACACTTTGATGGAGGTACTAGAAAATGCTTATGATTTGATTACCAATTGCCATTGTGCTTACTGACTTACAGAGGATGCGAGAAGGTTAGTTTACAGATCTACATTAAAAGTGCTTTCTGCATCTAGGTCTCTTCTCAGCTATCTTCAGAGGCACCAGTAGAAGCCCAAGCTATTAAACCTTCTCCTGCTGTTATTATAAAGCCTCCCGTGTTGTTCAGACAGCCCACCCCTGTGACAAGACCAAGTGCCCCACTGACAAGGCCTGCTACACCTATGACAAGGCCACATGCTCCAGTTTCTACTCCAACTACAACCCCAAGTCATGGTCAGTCTTTAAAACCATCACCTTCTGCTGTGGAACAGGAACGCTGGGATGAGGATTCTTTCCACGGACTCTGGGACACAAATGAGGATAAAGGAGCAAATATGGAGTACGAGTTGTGTAAACAGGAGTCAATGATGCCTCCACCTGTCTCCTCACCTGTGAAAGTACCTGCTGTTCACACCTCTGTTCCATCAGCTGTACCAGTGTCCCTTCCTCCAGTTATTCCACCGGTTCCTAAAGCACCCGTAATTCAGCAAACTGTGGATTATGGCCACGGACGAGGTGGGTATTATTATAGTGTATTCCTTTGATCTGTAGCAGAGAGCTAATAGGTCCTGCTAGCTTCTTTCTAACGAGTGTGCCATGCAAAGCATGCCGTAGATGTTCTGCAGTTGACCTTTAGGCTGCATGCATTGTAATCTAATGCTAAGCAATGCAGTTTTAAGGAGTCTGTAACCGCCAGCCTTGAGTTTTCTTCACTGCTGTGATAATGAGCTATTTCATGTGAACTGAATGCTGTACAGCCACGTCTGCTTCTCATAAACACTGACATGATCAATATAACACATCGATGTGTTATATTTGGATTGATATTGATACTTTCCCTTAATCCCTTTGTAGCTGAGTACGGAAATAACTGTGCTGGAAAGTACTTTGGATTATTGCAGTTCTTAGGTGTGACTTAGTAACTTAAAGCAGAATGTGACTGGTTGCGTTACTTATATACTGCTTAATGGGTGTGAGGTACCCTCTAGATAGGGAGGGAGACAAAGTTCTAGTTCTGAAGCGTGTGTACCTTATAGAGGCATTTAGTTCATAAACAGTGAAGGGCTCTGAATTTTAGTATTGACTTTATCAAAGCTAAAATTCAACACTCATTTCTTAATAGAGTTCATTTCCCTCATTCTTAGTTTTTGACAGGAGTGAAATCATGTTGCAAAGTAGTTCTAAAATTGTGCATTGTCATTTAAAGAGTATTTTTCTCTAAGGTGCCATAACATGAATTGAAGCCATATTGATTCTGTTAAGTAGATGTTTTATTAAATGCTGTTAGAAAAATTGTCACTGTTAAGAATCTAAAGTGAGCGTTTCATTTAATATTCTTGACAGTACAGTAGTTCTACAAGCTACTGAAACTTTCAGAGCATTTTAGTGTTTATAGTCTTCTGACCGTGTGTGCTACCTGAACTCATGAAAAGGCAGAAGTCCCATTCTTGACATGAAGTGGTACGCATACCTACATACATACACAAACCCGCTTCAGACTTTCAAAACTATGGTGTTTTGTATTTATGTAAAGCTCTTTTTGCGTTATCCATTTAAAAAAATGTTGATAAGTTATTTCGGTCACTTTTAATGCCATTGACTGATTGTTTTTCGTGACAGAGGAAAGGAAATGGGTATTTTAAGACTGTGATTATTTTTCTATTATTTTTAACCAGATATAACTACCAGTAAAGTGGAACAGATTCCATACGGGGAGAGGGTGACCCTGCGTCCGGAACCTCTACCAGAGAGGCAAACGTTTCAAAAAGGTAGGGAGCAATTGGCTAGCTCTCAGACAGTTAGTTAGCCACTTCAAAAATTCAGTTTTATAGCTTTAAGTAGGATTTCGTAGTATGGTTGTCTGTTACAGGTTGGAAAAGAGATTCAGTGGCTGATTAAGTCTATTCTAGCCCTCACATATCTTTCTATATAATTTTCTTGTGTTCTTGTTTGTTGCTTTTCCTTCAGAAATAAAAATTTCAGAGTATGTTTTAGTAGTTTGGATTTCCGTGGGTTTCTTCTTTCAGAGCACCCCGGTCGTTACAACAGAGAAAGAGACCGTGAACCTTATTTTGAGCGTCAAGGTAATTCCAACACAGATCATCGGGATTTCAAGAGAGAGCGGGAATTGCACAGAGACCGTGGGTCTGTGGACTATGAACGAGAGAGATTTGAAAAAGAGCGGCATCCCCGAGATGATAGGTACGTGGGTTTGGAACAGTGTTGAAATCATTACGATTCAGGCTGTGTTGGGTATCAGGCTGTCCATTTTGCCTGTGAGGTACATGTTCATTTCTCTCTGGAATCAGTAGTAGAAATTCCAGAAATATGCAAAATACTCTTTTGGCAGGGTTCTTCCTACTACGCCTTCAAGGACTCAGTCTTACCGTGACAAGAAAGACCATCCTTCCTCCAGGCGGGGTGGTTTTGAAAGACCACCATATGAACGAAAGACAGATCGTCCAGCATATGATCATGGGCCTTCCATGTTTGGAGGTACAGTTGCTCAACCTTGAAGCCATGCTAGAATATTATGAAAAATATGGACTCACAGAGGTGAAGGTTAATTGGGAGAAAATTAATTGCTTTGCTGTATTTCTTTGTTCAGAATATGTAATTCAGGAAAATTTATTTGGGGAGTGTCATGTGGATTTGTTTCTCAGCGGTGATTGGATCAGAAATGCAACTGTCACATAGTCTGCTGAAAAAGTCTTTGATTGCAATAGGTTCAGGATTAGAAATTTGAATTCTTTTGGGGACAAATCTGTGAATTTATCCTAAAATAATGAACGTCTGTTTAAATCAGCTCAGCTGGGTATGAACATCTTAATTTTTTTATTTTACTGAACTAAGAAAATTCTTCTGTCCAAACACTGGAATTTGAAGGTGATCGTAGAAATTACCCTGAGGAAAGGATTCCTATTTCTGCTCCATCAATGCCCCGCCAGCCACCACCTGCTCCACGAGTGGAAAGGAAGCCAGAATCTAAAAATGTAGATGATATTTTGAAGCCACCAGGACGGGATAGCAGGCCAGAGAGGGTGAGTATGCATTGTGAAAGCAACAATAGGTTTCTACGAGGTCTGTATTCAGATGAAATGCTCATGAGTGTAATATGATGGGAACAAGTCTACATTTGAGGACGTTCTGGAAATACTCTTAGTTCCTTTGCAAATGCCTAGAGTGATACAGCATAGCTATTAGGAGTCCACAGGGGAGGTAAACTTCCTGGGAATGTGAAGATGAAATTCCTATTAGTGGGTAATGTTAATGTATTTTAGACTCTTCAGAGATCTTCACTTGGGGTTTTGATGTATCAGAGGAAAAACTTGGCTTTACCTAGAGTCAGAGATTGGGCAATGCACCATATAAAATAAGAAAGAATGAGATTCAGGCTATAAAACATTTAGACAAGTTTCATTTGGTTACTTTTATCTGAACCAGATCTGTAACAACATCTGCAGTATGAGCTGCTGAGATTGTTAACATCATATATTCTTATTCTGTGGAACTACTACCATTCCTCACAACCTGGTTTGTAAAATAGGCAGTGAGGCTTGGTACTGGTTTTGCTTGATGATATGCAAAAGTGTGAGCCCAGATCACATAATTTTCTAGAAGAAAATTTTTACAAGAGAGATTCTGTTAAATGTATTCCAGTATCCTATCTTCTTACGTGATCTTTGTTTCAGATTGTAATCATAATGAGAGGGTTGCCTGGCAGTGGAAAGACACATGTAGCAAAACTCATCAGGGTATGTAAACAACCGCTCGCTGTGTAGTGCTGCTTGTCTTTTATGTGCACTTCCTCTGCTGTTTTCTTTCTGTTTGTCAGGCTTTTCAGCCTGTGGTTATTTCATGTTCCATGTCTTCATGTGGCATGTGAATCCCCTCCACTATTAGCAAGCATGAGGGGTACTGCTCTCTTCTTATTTTGAACATAGAGCAGGGAAATGCTGTTTGCCAAAAGTGTTTCGAAGATCCTCTGTAGCAGAATGGAATTTTTACAACGAGAGTGTGTTTTCTTTTTGCTTTCTTCCCAGGATAAGGAAGTAGAGTGTGGAGGACCTGCACCAAGAGTGCTCAGCCTGGATGACTATTTTATCACTGAAGTGGAAAAAGAAGAGAGAGATCCAGATACAGGGAAAAAAGTGAAAAAGAAGGTACTTTTAATTCAGTTGCTTATCTTGAAAAAGAAACAAGACATTCTGGAATAGCACAGTGGTAATCAGAATTTCAGCCTGTGGCTTTGGAAGAGTGCAGAGGTCTGTGGGCTGTTTTTCAAAACAAGTCAGTGTATGTTAAGGACAGAATGGGCAAATTCTTAAAAGTTGACCTCGAACATGTTTTTATCATACCAGTGTACTTTGTGATCATGACATTCAGCAGTTGAACATTAGCAATTTAATAGGTGTCCTCTTTTTTAAATGCTTTTATCCTTGATAAAGGTGATGGAGTATGAATATGAAGCTGATATGGAAGAGACCTATCGTACCAGCATGTTTAAAACTTTCAAAAAGACCTTGGATGATGGCTTCTTCCCCTTTATTATCCTTGATGCTATCAATGATAGAGTGCGACATTTTGAACAGTTTTGGAGTGCTGCAAAAACCAAGGGTTTTGAGGTAATAGAGCCTAAAAAGCATTTGAACCTGCTAACACCCGTATGCTGTTATTTCTAAACTTCTGAATGCAAAGTCCCTCCCACATTCAGGAAAAATGCTGTGGTCTACAGTTACAAATTTACCTTTCTTAGAATGTACAATGGCAGAGTGTATCACCAGGTAGAAAAAGAGCTCTAAAAATTGATTTGCAATATTTAATGTTGTATTTCTCTTTCTAGGTGTACTTAGCTGAAATGAGTGCAGATAACCAGACGTGTTCCAAGAGGAATATTCATGGACGCAAGCTAAAAGAAATCAGCAGGGTAACTGTACACATCTGGAGTCATAGGTTTAATGATAGGTTTCATTGTGCTTTCAGGCCTGCTGTTGTTGGAAAACTATTGACCTCTTTTAGGCTACATAATGCTTACATTTTTCCTCTTAAGAGGAGCTGGTAGTTATTTCATGGGATTGATTGAAATTACTTTTCTTAAGCACAGATACATCTTTTTTGTGATCAGAAACCCAGTTTTCCATTGAACCTGTTACATTTTTAGAGGTGCTTCATTTTTGTTTGTTTTTTGTTAGATGTCTGATCACTGGGAGGCAGCACCACGTCACATGATGCGCCTGGACATTCGTTCTCTATTGCAGGATGCTGCTATCGAAGAGGTGAGAATCCCTGTGCTTGTTAAAATTATAAATTATGTACATGTGACTATACTGCAAATACAAAGCAGAGAAAGGTATGATCACAACAGGGCAGTTATACCTAGCACTGTAGAGAGCCAGAATCCCTGTGTCAGATAAGGTTATTTCATTATTCTTATCAATTACCCAAAATGAAGGTACGTGTTACTTTGTATCACCTTTTTGGAGCCCAGACTTGCACATCTTTTAGGAAGGTTTGAAGCCACTTTGCTCTTTAGCAACCATTGAGTACCAGTTAAAGAGGATCTTGTGCTCTTGGATGAAACTCAGCACTTTTTCAGGTTACTGGATTAACTGGATTGTAATTTGAGGAAGTAGATTGATAAATAAACAAATTCGAACTCCTTTTGGTCCCTGCTTTGAGAAATACAGACCTGTAGCAGAGAATGAAGAAATAAATAAAAAACACGTAGCGAAAGATTACACTTGCTTGTAGAAGCATGCTACCTTCTTATTCCATTTGCAGTTTGCCATAACATGTATGTTTGGTGTGTCAGCTTTGTGTATTGTTGCATTCTTCTTTGGCAGATGTTTCAGGAGCTCTGGGAATCAATTAGTATGTTAATCATATGGTCATCGTGAATGTGCCATAGCTCTTGCCATGGCCATAGAAACTGGTGAACTGTTGAAGTAGGGTGAGAGTTTACTCTTTGCTGTTTGTCATGAGATCAAAGGTTATTTTTCAGTCTCCAAATTATTTTTACTGGCAAATATTAATCTTTAAGAGGACAGCAAAAGGCTCAGCTCTCAAGTAGACTCAGAGAAGGGCAGATTTGGGATTTACTCTGTGTGCATTAAGGTTTTACTAATGGTAATGAAGAACTGTACATACTCAGAGAGTTTTAGGTATGCCGCAGTATACACATGAATCCCCATTAGAGATGTGGACCCCTGAAAGTATTCCATTAGGTGGGCAGGGTTAGCTGTATGTCTTAAAGCATCTATTATTCTTTACTGTTGTATTTAAATATATAAAAGATAACAGACTTAATAGAGATGTTCTCTGCAGAGAGCACCATTCCAGTGATGTGTGAATGGCAAGCTTAACATCTTTTTCTGGGATTACCAGTTCTGAAATGTGATTATGTGACAAGAAAGAGAAGTATCTTGCTGTTACAGATACTGGTAGCACAAAGAATGCGTGTGAAGGAAGAGAATAAACGATTGCTACTTTCCCACGCAGTCTGTCACTCTGCAGCTAGAAGAGAACCTGCTTCTGAGGGAAGCCAAAATGAAGCCAGTATTCATATATATTGCATCATCATACTTTCCAAGATGAATCCTTTCTTTTCTCTTGTATTTGAACTTGGAATCTTCTACTTACGCTGCTAAAAAGATAATGCTTAAAAATCAAGCAGTGCCCTGTAAGTCTGTGCTTGTGCTTTGGAACAGGTGGAGATGGAGGATTTTGATGCAAATATTGAAGACCAGAAAGAAGAAGCCAAGAAGGATACAGCAGAGGAAGAAGAAAGTGAACTGGTAGGAGACACATCAGCCATCTCTAACAAAATGTTTGTTAATGTGTCTGAGGGAGAATCTCAGTCTTATAAATGCCAACCCATTGCCATTCTTAGCAGTGCGATCTTAATACACGCATTTCTAGTCGTTTGTTCCGTAAACATTTCTAGGAGAACTTTAATGTTAAATCATATTATTCCTAACTGAATTTTCTTAAGAATCTGTGAGTCCATACCACAAACAGCGTTATCAGTGGAGCATGGCAACATGCCTCTTACCAGACATTTGTAAATATCAGTACACTATAGCGCTGTCTTCCAGATTATCTAAGAATTACACTAAGTGGAGGATTGGAAGAATGGGCAAATATTAATTTAGCCTATTTCCTTTCACGTGTCTAAAGAACTCTTCTCGACTGTCACAGTATATGGCAACAGTTATGAAGAAGAATGCTTTCTCTGCCAAGGCTCGCTGACTTTGTCAGTAGGTATTTCCAAGATGAGGGATTAGGTCTCTTGGATAAATGAAGGTTAGAGAATTGCCCTGAGGGCTGGCGTTTTTAGGTATGTATTTAAAAGGCTACGGAAGGCTTCCTAATGTAACTTCTTGGTATGTGTTGGAGCTGCAGCTGGTCAGCGCTTGATGAGTTGAATGTGTCAAACCCTGGTTCCCACAACCAAGCAGTTAAACTCCAATAAACAGGAAGTAACCAAAAATGTCTTGAGACAAGCAAAGTCCTTCTTCTTGATGGAAACTTACTATTCCTCAGGAGTGGCAGTTTAGAAAGCGGTTGAAATACAGAATTAAAAAAAAAAAAAGCTTAGGAAGAGTGGATTTTAATAAACATCTGTTTTTTGCAACATGACTCATTTATTCTCTTTACTAAATTATCCTTTGGCACAGAGTATGAGACTGCATCAAGTGTGCTTAGAACATTTCAAAGACGCACCCATGTTTACAAGAATATGGCTGCTAGCTTCATTTCTTGGAAATGAGCTATATCTAGAAGAGAAAGTTGTCTTTAGCTTTTGAGACATCTGTGCATAAGTGTGTGTGTTTGTGTGTTTGTGTTTATGGGCTCTGGGGAGTGTCCTAATGTACAGCACGTAACAGTAGGCCTTTTCTTTATGAGACAAGGAGAAAGCTTGGTGGTGAAAACTATGCAAATTACTAATAACTAAAAGTAGTATACATATAAGAATGTTTGCTATTCAGATTCACAAGAGATGAAAATTAGCAAAGAATTATCTGCTGTATGTAATCTCTGCTATTCAGTCATATGGCTAATCTCAGGGAGAGGTATGTCAGACAGAAAGGTGGAACAGTACGCTGCGTTTGGTATCTGTTGCCTTCTTGAGAGCAGTTGGTAAGGGTTCTTCAATTCATTTTGCTGCATTTAATCCTGCGGAAAAGAGAGGTCTGAAGCTCCTGCCATCTGGCAGATATCCTTGAAAAATCCAGCTGTCTTGTACCAAAGGATGAAGTCTGAATCTTTTCTTATCCTATCTGAGGACCGGGATATTGTACAGATTCAGCACACAATAGGCCATTTCACACCATCAAAGTCACTCTTTTGTTGCTATTATCAACTCCCATAGGGTTGTTTGTAGCATTCAGACAATTCTTGCTTTTCTGTGCTTGATGGTATGAATTACTGATGCATTTAACTTAAGTGGTCTCACCAGCATATCACACATCACTTTGTTCAATACAGGCTTCTAGCTGTGTTGTAAACTTTCTGAGGAAATTTTAATGTGCAACATGGTTTAAAAATATAAATACACATATATATCCATGAAGTTTATTTATTTGTTACAAGGAAATATTGCAGCACAAAGTGTCTTTGTATTAATTGCAGGCTTGATTAAAAACAATAAAATAAAGAGATCTGATAATCTCAAGTCACTGATATATCCTCAATAGAAAAAAGGTATTTCAAGGATTTTGGAAGAACAGTGCTGAACATAATCAAAAGCAGTGTAGCTCTCTGGAATAGTACACTCCGATTTAGTAACCCTTTGCATTAACAGATACACATATATGTTTACCACAGTGGAGGCAACCTATAAATAGAGCAGGAAAGAAGTTAGTGTTAATAAAACTGGTCTGTGGATTGTTTGTTTTCTTGTTGAAATCTTCTAGAGTAGTTCTTTTCCCTCTCTATTAAAAATCATTCCTAAAATAATGAAATCCTCACAGGGATTCCATTTTACTACATTGAGCTTTCTGTGTGATTGCAGAGAAACATAAGTAGCTTTATAACAAATCTGTACAGCTGAAATGAGTTGTAAGGGGTTGCTTAGTAAGGATTTACTTGTCTAAGAGTATAAAATGAAAAGATAGCAAGAAGATATTTAAAATAAATACTTTTTTGCTAAATTTAATATCATTATGCTCATTTACAAGGAATAAACTGGCTAAAGACCATTACATGTAAAACATATGATGACATTATTTGTAAGGGAAAAGTGTTTTAAAAGAATCATTGGACTAAGAGGGTTATTTTTAAATGAAAAATGGTACTTACATTTTAATCATTCAGCAGATACTCTCATTTAAACTAAAAAAAGAATTTTGTTTAACTGTGGACTAACCACTCATACCAGAATTTAGTACGTCCCTTCAAAAGGGTTATTAAGTGAAGCTTGTGTGTTGTAAATTTGGGAATATTTTCTGAAAAACTTATGACTACGGTAACTTTTTCATTTGTATTTGTAAAGCTTTGAATGTTCTTTATGTCTGATAAATTGTGTTGCAATAACTTTGCCAGCTGGGATAATACAATACAGTAACTGTGCATACAGCGCCATCGCTGTCTGTTCAGACTCATTCCGGAGTTCTGTGTTTGCAGAGGGCAGCACTCTTGTAATGATTTGCAAGGGCTGCTGAAATCACTGAATGGGAAGTGGATGCAGAAGTTCTGAAATACTGAGTAATTTGTTTCCTTCATCTGATAGCAAGAATTGTGCCTTACAAAAAGAACTGTCTTAAGCTCCCATTATAATGCTGTTTCCAGTTCAAAAGTAATATGCATGTGTGTCTCTCTCTAATCCTCCGAGCTTCTCTCTGTGTATGATTTAGGGTTACATTCCGAAAAGCAAATGGGAGATGGACACTTCTGAGGCAAAGCTAGGTGGGTATTTATTTTTTCCTGTTTCTTATAGTTGGTATCTGATGATGTTTGCAAAACTTGAATTTTCGTTTTTACTGTGCCTCCTTACCAAAGACAAATAACTTTATTGATCTCATACACGTGTCTGAAACTGCAAAAGCATCTCTATAGAAAAAGGAATTTACCTTCTGCCAGAGACAGGCGAGTTATGACTTTCTAACCATCACTGTTGTATATACTCATTAATTGTTCTTCCATCTGTTCAAGGAAAGTACTTTGTCTTAGAATTTTGAAAAAGTACTATTTCTATTCTTTATTCATCTCTTCCGTATTACAAAAAGCAAAGAGTCGACTTACATTGCACTGCATTCTTGTTCATACTGCATACCTTCTTTTAAAGCCTAAATTTCGTCAGCAACTTCTTACTTTCTTGGAGACATGCCTAGTAGCTAACTGTGGTGAAGATGTTTATTGCTCTCCAAAATTGACATCTGTGAGGACAAAGTAGTGCCATGCTTCGAAGTTGGTTCTGAATGATTAGGCCTCGGTGTATCTTTTCAACAACTTAGGTATTGAAAAGTTAAAATTCGTTATGCTTTTCAGTTCCAGGAGAGTACTAGAATTCTTCATGGTAGGATGCAAAATGGGCTTCCCTGGAGCAGGAGGGCACTATTTTTGCTGCACTTTTTGTTCTGATCGGTGCTGCTCGTTGCGTTAGACATAAGTGCCAACACCAGGATTCTGTCAAAGTCAAAAGCAACTTTCAGGCTGAAATGCAAACACCTTGGCTATGGTGGAAGGTGTACACATGCAAAGGGGTTTCTAGTCATTATGGTCAGGTTTTTGTTGGTTGGGTTTGTTGTTTTGTTTGTTTGGGGTTTTTTTACTGAAGAGCAATGATTCTAAGTGAAGATTTTATCAATGAAATCTGCATAAAACTGCTATTTTCTGTCATGTCTATGGGAAGTAACAAATACCTGAATGGGATGCGGCATGTCTTAACATTCTTAGGTTTGCTTCTGCATGTGTGGTACAGCCCTGTGTATCATTACTTTCCAATGACCAAAATCACAATTACACCATAGAAATAGCATTAGAAGTTCTGGCTTACATAAAGCAGCCTTTCATCTTCTACTGTTAACTGCTTAGCTGCACCATCTCTTCTGCTGCTGTGCTCTCTGAAGTCATTTAAATATTTGTGGAATATACTGATGTTGTGGCACCTGCAGTACAACTGGAGGAGGCTTGTACTTAATGACTCCGACATAACAAACAGCTAGGCAGTTAGGCAGAATTAATTCAGGATTGCTGTGCATTTTTGTTATAAGAGCTGATTGTTTTAGTATCTTAAGTGGGTTTTTTTTAAGTTTATAATGATTTTTTTTCGTAATTATGTACAAAATCATAGTACTTGAAAACTGCATTGTTGAAGAATGCTCTGATCTGTTGTGTTGTATTCCAAATAACATAAACTTCTTTAAATACTCAGTAGTAGGAACAGATAAGTTGTGCTGCATACAGTGAAACTTGAAGCATTTTACAAATATCATGGGAGTCCAAAGTGTGTTCTAAAAATATTCAAGTTCTATGTGTAGTTTCTAGCAATGTGGAGACTATGACTGCAGCAGAAGTTGACAAATAGCATTCAAAATTTACCTCGCATGATCAAGTACCGCTAACAAATAGAAACAAAGAACTGTGTTGTTTCTTTCCATATGAAAACTCCATAATATAAAATGCAGGATTTTTATATGGTCTCCACTTAAATGTAAAATGGGGAGCGAGCAGTAGAATCAATTTTATGCTAAAGTAAGTTACTTGCAAGGCTGTTGCAAGAATCCTTTAACTATCAAACTCCATTAACAAACTGGATGTTAGCATGCTGCAAGACACAGTTACAGGTGCTGAGAAGGTCTTTCTCTTAAGTCTGTCTTCACTATTTTACTTTTGTAACTACCCTCTAGATTCATTTTTATAAATACATAGAACTGTAGATTAAAAGTAGATTCTGACAGAACATACATTTTAAAAAAAGCCACGCATTCCTATGGAATGAGTCCTGTTTCTTTTAAAAAATTGCTCTGCAAGGACAGACAACTTTTAGCTCAAGGTATGCATTATAAGCACTTGCAGTCTGTGAGTAAGAATTATTATATTTAATTCCCAGTAAGACTTTGTTCTAGATGACCAATTAAAACTATTTCCTGAAAGGCATGTAAACTGTGGTATGCATTTGTTATTCCAAAGTTGCGTTATTTCCTGGGAGCTGGCCTGCCCACCAGGTTTATTGCATTAGTCTCAGAGGGCACACATTTGCAGAAGTGATGTAAGTGCAGAATCCAAACCCAACACTGTAAGTCTTGTTTTGCTTTTTTGTTTTCTTTCTGAGTAGATGTTGTAACCGGAAAGCACAATAAGATCTTACTGATTGTAATAAGCCTCAGAAGAGGTCTGAAAAGTTTGAGTTCTTTAGCTGCAACACTGACTTGCAACAGTCACCATACCGTGCACCCCAGAGCTCTTGCTTTAGTTCAGATTTACTTTGGCAGGGGTGATGCATTCCTCTGAGTATGTGTGTGGTATATCATTTCCTTATGTCTTGCGAGTGCACAGCCACATTTTTATTCTAAAGTGTAATCGCTGGTCTGTCTCAGTGCATAGTGCACACGGATTTCTTGTATTAAATTTACAGGAATGGACTCAGTTTTAAAATTTGACTATATTCAAAGTGTTTAGCGCAATACTCTGTTTCAAAGTGCGGCTTAGTGGCGAGTTCTACAAACTTTCAGGAAAGGAGAAACGAGCTCTGGCATAGCTGAAGTTTTGATACCACTGTAAAATTTTCTCTGGAACGCAATAACATTTTACATAAACCTTTGTGGCTTTTGTATGAGAAGGGCAAAAATTTAGCCAATTGATTCATTTAGTTTTTGAAGGAGCTAATTAAGTCAGTTACTTTCAGATGCTTTATTAATAAAATTCTAAAGGTGAGTTTTTAAGTTCGGTGGGTTTTTAGAAATGCTGCTGCTTCGTTGTTTTTAAAAATGAAATGGTAAAATGATGTTTGATAGTTTAACACTAAATAATCATCTGTCATAAATATTTACGAGCACCATTGTTACAGAACGACACCTTGTCTCATTTTCAGAAAAGAATATTCTGAAATAGTGCTTTGTGGTAAGCTCTGACACTTCTGTAGTGTGTCTACTGCATGGCACATGTACCTTGAACCACAATAGTATGGATGGAAGCAGATCCCTCTGGAAAGGCAGTCCGGCTTCAAACATGGAAGGAGATAACATTTTAAAATAAATTCTGTGTAGCAGTAACAAAAAGGGACAGAGGGGAACCTCATACTCTGAACTCCTCCTGAACTCCTCTGTTGATGTTTGAGAGTTTCACGTTTCTTGGCAATGTTTTCAATTGGTCTGTGTGCGGCAGGGAGTGGGAGACTGAACTCTTTCTTCCACATGGGTAATAAGATGAGCTTGCATCGGAGCGTGTTGCCTCCCAACAGGAATGTGTCTGTGTACTGATACTTGCCAACAGAGCTCCTGAATTTTCCATTCTTCATGTTCCTCAAACACTCCTCAATGCATTTGTTGCTCTCCTTTTCAATGTCATGGTTTTCTGGAAATCCTTATGCTACGAATGATCTACACTGATTGATCAGAGAGTAATACTGAGGAATAGTGCAAGTACATTATGTGCTGGAGTAACAGGAATACTGAATAAATCAATTTTGTCTTCTAGAGGAAGTGCCGTCTTTCTGTGGAGACTGAGCTTCAAATTTGGCAGATTTAACTTAGAGCAAAAGAAGAACCTTAACTGAATTGTGTAAAAAGATACCGTGTTAAAGATACAAATATTCTGCGCAGTTTTCTTAAATGTTGGCTTTTTTTAAAAGGCAAAAGGGGATTAAAATGTTTTCTTAGAAGAAATTCTGTATCTGTTCCAGAGTAATGGGGCAAAGGTGGAGTCTTTAAAAATTTTAGTTGTGTGAGGGAGAAATTACTTCATTAGTATGCAGCATTTAAATTATACTAGCATGCCTACATCACCATTGCCTCACACTATCTCTGTTGTTGCTCTTTTCTCTCCCATATTAAGTAAAAAACCTCATCTCTGAACTGAGCTTCTTTAAATACATACCTTTGAACATCCTCTTCTGCTATCCAGAAAATACGCTGCCTTGTATTTGGTTTATTTCTGAGGCCTTTTGTGGGTAAATTTAATTACATCAGTGACTTCTGAAACAATGTTACTGACATCACTGGAAATGGTTTACAGAATGTAACTGCCAAGCTTAGTATTCCTTCTGCATGTACTGGAATTGTTGGCTTATAAAATGGTAGCATACATCGACAGAAGTACTAGGATTTCCTTTGACTTGTAAAGCCGTCTTTCATTTTCATGCTTTGTTGTTCATAACCTTACAGTGAATACTTCATCTCCTTTCCAAAAGCAGTTGGCCACATAATTTCAAGAAGGTGTTGTTTTTTCACTGAAAATGGGTATCCAAAGAGGAACAAAATTTTAGAACCTAGAAATGGAATTGTTTCTCCTCATGCCTTATTGGTTCAGTAAGAAAAAGAAGAAAATGATGACTGTTGGACAAACGTACTGCTCAAATATTCATGACTGACCTCTTACACCATGAAACAAAAGATTCTGAGGTTATTTTTTTTCCAGTCCTGGAGGATTTTTTGAGTGTGTTTTCCTTGTGGGGAGAGAAAAAGAAAGGGGGGGGGGGGGGGAGGGGATCAGGGTTTCCAAGGAGCTTTTTGTTTAGCAGAAACAGTATAACAAAAACTTGTCTTTGATGCATTAAATTATATGGTCGTCACTTGTTCCCTGGTACTGCATGTATGCCATGTTTGACACAGTATTAAACCCCGAATTTGGGAAAAATGCTACAGCTTTAGTATTGTGTTCAAATACAGAAAGGTGGATCTGTGGTTCCTAGCTATCGGTGGCTATATTGTACCTATAAGGACAGACTCCGTATAGTTTGAACATCCAGAAGAGCAAGCTTTTCTCCCTCATACAAATAACAAGACTGAGTGTCATTGCCACACAGTTAATGTGAAAGATCAATAAAACTTGAAAATGGTGTTGAGTCTTCTCTAGTTTATTTCAACTCTCATCATTCCACCTGTCAAGACAAGCTGGATGTACAAGTTCTGCTGCTCATTCTTTTGAAAATTTTTCCACTCTCGTCTTGTTTGTGTGAATAATAGGAAAAAAAAAATCTCCTTTAACTCTGAGGCTCTGTGTTTGTTCTCAGACAAGCTGGATGGTTTGCGGACTGGCACTAAAAGGAAGCGTGACTGGGAAGCAATTGCCAGCAGAATGGAAGATTATCTGCAGCTTCCAGATGACTATGATACACGTGCTTCTGAACCTGGAAAGAAAAGGGTAATAAATTTTCAAATGACTTACTGTCTGTATATGACCATGTTCTCTGTGGAAAAAGAGTTTGTATCAAGTCATTCAGTGTCTGTGAATATGGCAATTTCACCGACTCACTTTTCATTTTGCTGTTCCATTAGATTCTGTAAGAGAATATTCTTGAGAGTAGGGTCTTTCAGAGGCAAACAGATTCATTGTAACAAAGTGAGGAATTGTAGATAATAAAGATGAACTACGTGTGGTATGGCTTTTGAGACTGAGAATGGAATCATGTCCCCTTTCTTACTGGGGGAGATGATGCACTTTGTTTCAGAGCAATCCATAGAGTCCTTCTCTTATGCTGTGTGTTTTGTGATGAGATAGTGTGATAAACAGTGCAGCTTCCAAGACAAGATGACGATTTTATTTATTAGGTTTTATAATAAGTAGGCAGAGAAACAGTACACTGTTCTTATGTTCAAAAAGATTCAGCTGAGGAAGGTATCAACTGTGTAGGTTATATACCAATTAAGTCTTGTAGATGTTCCCTCCTGCATATACCTTGCATAAAGCGTGGGAGATGGTGTATAAGAAGTTGGCTTCAACCACTTTATATGTAGTTCTGTTCTGAACATGAAATGCTACGTCTTCAAATACCATTGTGGAAAAAAGGGGAAAAATTCACAGGAAGATGAAAGAGAGGTAATAGGAAGAGGTAATCTTTTTTTTTTTTTTTTTTTTTTTTTTTTTTGTGTCTCTAAAATAGACCGGCTTTTGCCACTAAAAGTAATTTAACTGTTGGTGTTTGGGCTTTGTTTTGTTCTGTAATGTCAATTGGAAAACATGGGTAGCACGGGACAGCATGCATGAGAGAAATGGAGATACTAAGGTATT